GTGGCTAGTATGCTCAAACTACTGACCTTGTGGTTCGCAGGCCAGTGTTTATTGTATGTAGCCACCATGCTCCTACACTATTTGTTGTTGCTTTTAAGTGTTATACACTCAGTTGTGACATCTAGCTACCTGGTATAGGGTTTCTGAGGAGCTGCTGGTAGGTTTGAACTCCCAACCTTGTGGCAAGCAATCCAGTGTTTATCCTGCAGCACCACTGTTATCTTTAGGTATATCTAAATGAGACTTACCAATCATGGAATAAAGTTATAGAGCCTTGCCTTATTTTAGTAATGTGTTTATAAAAATGTTTAAAGTGAATAATTATTAGGGAATACGTTAAGGACATTGGCCTATATTTACTCACTTCTCTATTTCTTAAAATACTACCATTCTCCAAAGCACAGTGAAAAAAACCATGACATCACCCTTTCTTCCCAGAAAACTCTTTACTCAACTGATTTCATTACTTCCTTGCCTTGGCTTCACAGATGTAAGCATCATACTCAAATTTGTAGGGTTTCTTAGCGAATTTCACAGTTCCAATTCGGGATTAGAGATTCTCAGGACAAAGTTTTTTGGCCAGAACAGACTGTCCTTAGCCCTGCCTGTAGGCAGGCCTCTCTCTTACCCTTGACCTTTCATGGGCCCTGGACCTCTCACAGGCCCATTGGGCTCTACCCTGCACCAACAGTGTTATAGAGGTTTTATCATGCTGCTGTAAATGTCTCCCTAATATTAGCCTTAGCATGAAGGCACTTGGGTCTAGCTCAGAGGATTAGCAAATTTAGCTCTTCCAAGTGACTGCCTGGAGATCCACACCCCACTCTGCAAGTCTGAAGTCACTCGGCTTTACTTGCTCTGTGGGCTAAGAAGCCCATCATCACTGTGTTTCATGCTCTGTTGGTTCTGCTGCTGCTGCTCCTCTGCCAATCTTCTGGTTGCACAGCTTTCTGTCCCTGGGTGCAGGAGGTTCAATGTGCAGGAGTTTGTGTCTCAAGAACACAAATGATTCCTGGCTCTTCTTTAATGGTTGTGAGATCCCCTATTCCTGCTACGCTTCTGAGAGGGCTCATTTCATACACTTGAGAGTTCTGAGTTTTCACAGTTAACCCTGGTAACAGTCACAGCTGAATCATAATTCATTGGCATCTCCACCACCTTCTCTTACACAAACCTTACAAAAGTCATATGGTGAGAATTTACAAACACTAGGAACTCTGATACATACTGGTTACATAATTGGACTGCTAACCTCAGGGTCAGCAGTTCGAAACTACCAGCTGTTCCATAGGAGAAAGATGAGACTTTCTGCTCCCATAAAGATTTACAGCCTCAGAAACCCTGTCACGATGAGTCAGAACCCACTCCATGGCACATAACAACAACAGCATGGCTGGAAGAGGACTTCTGGTGTGGCATTGTAGGATAAACATTGGACTGTGAACCACAAGGTTGAAGGTCCAAACCCACCAGCTGCTCCTGGGAAACCTGGTACAGAGTTACTAAGAGTCAGAATCAACTTGATGACGCTTAACAAAAGCAATGGCTAGGAGAGACAGTAAAGTAATTCATTGAACCACATTCATGTTACTTTCTCCACAGATACCCATATCTTAAGGACATCACTTGCCATAGTGACCCTGTCATCTCAGTTTCCATTACATTCAAATAAATCACTATGCCTTTTAACTTTCTATACTCTGAAATACACACAGTTAGACTAATTGTGTTAAAGTAGTTGCCAAATTATCTTATGCATCAGAATTATTTTGAGGACTTGATAAACAGAGATTGTAAAGTTTTGGATACAATGAACCTGAATGGGACCTAAAAATTTGCTAATGGTTCTGTTGTGGTATCCATACAATATCCATTGTCCTAAAGTATTCTGAAAATGCCATTCCTCCAATGAAAATCTTAGGTGCTCTGTCCTGCATTTAAGGACATAATTATTTAGCCCATCCTTTAAGTTTCTAGAAGTCTGTAGGTAATAAAAATAGTTAATGATCTCAGCTTCTAACCAAAAAGTTGGCGGTTTGAGTCCATTCAGAGGCACTTTGGAAGAAAGACCTGAAAAAAATACATCATTAAAAATCTTAATAAGCACAATTATACTCTGACACACATTCAGTTGCCATGAGTAGGAGTCACCTTGACAGCAACTGGTTACAACTTTCTACCTTTTAAAAATACACTTTCTGAATGTGACCCTCATTTCCACCTTTAGTTTTCAATGATTTGTTCTTAAAATATCTCAACAGGTTCGCCTCACTTCTTATCATCATCAATTTTAACAGTATTCCCGATTTGGAATTTATTAGGGAAGTGAACAAGGTCTACTTCAGGATCAGAAAGAACTCAGGATGCAGCACACCGTCATCTTGTCTTTGGCCTCTCAGCCATGTGATCCCTTGGCCTATGTCCTGCTTGGGCACATGTTACAAAGCTCCTTTAGCTAGTCTATAAACTCCCAAAGGTCACATTTTGCAAGAGACCCTCTTGCCTGTAGGCACTCAGCTGATGCACCTAGAAGCCCACAGCTGCGAGCCACCACCTCTCCACCATCTCTGCCACTGCCTCTGCTGGCACCGCTTTTCTAGATAGGGGTTTCATGGTCCACTCATGCTCTCCTTTCTTAGTGGTCCTGGGATTGTCTGTTCTTACTTCTGAGGTTGCTCCATTTTAACCCATGAGAATGGCAAAACTAACCAATCCCAGCATTTGACTCCTGTACACCCTATTTGCCATGGTCCCACCCAATCATTTGGTAGAAATTAAGATGCTGGATAGAAAAGCCATGTCAAGGACATTCACGGTACCACAGCGGTGTATCCTGTTACTGAATTATGTACAATATGTATTTCACCAAATCTATTTGTTTTGACTGTGTCATGATACTAGTGCTGAAGTAATTATTTTCCTTATTACTGTTATACGTATGCTTCTAAAATTTTAAGATTAGATGTTCACCTTGAAACCATTTGAGTAACTTTTCAGAACTGTGCTCCTTATCATGGATTAGATAATACCTTGAAGAAGAAAAAGAAAATGAATAGTAGTTGCCACTGTGCATGGGAGGTTTTACTATAGCTCTCAATTGGTCCTTACAACAATACTGTAAGAAAGATTGTGATATCCCTATTTTGCAGCTGTGGAGACTCCATAGTTACATTTTTTTCATATTTGCCCCTTCACTCAATAAAGAGGTGACCAAATGATATTCAATGCCAAGTTTATCAGTGCAAGGGCCTGAGTTTTTCCCACCTTCTGCCTTTTATTTGTATTTAATTTTTAAATATACTGAAGCTTCTTGTTTTCACACGTTTGGAATTTGGTCAGATTTTAGTCAAAAGAAATTAGAGAATACATTATTTAGCGATACAAATTTTAAATGAAATACTTTTTCCTTTTGCTTTAGTTTACTTTAATAGTCATTTTAAATATAGTTGCCGGGTACTCTGATGGGTGCTTTGAAACACCCAGTCTTACCTGATGGGAAAAAATGACAAGTTGAAGAGCTATTGCTGTGAATTAAGTTTTATGATTGAAGAGAGAATAAAATGTGGAAGCACTTATCAGTAACTAAGGAATTCCCTGTTTAGGAATCTCCTCTTCTCACTGAGCTCTTAACACCTAGTACAGTACATTCCTGGGTGCTTGCTAACTATTGGAAGGGAGAGAAATGGTTATTCACCCACTGCTGCTTGAAGCGTTTTCAGGTTTTCTTAGGACTTTAAATGTTTCTTTCATACTTTTCTATCAAAAGGAAAGCACAGACTATGAAGGAGGCCCTCCCGGCATCAATAGACAGAAATTAGTCCATGAAACGAAGAGGTTGCTTCTGTATTAAACTGTATGGGTTTTGTTTTGTTTGGGGTTTTGTTGTTGTTTTTTGCCAGAAAAAGATGTTACTTTGTCTTGTCTGAGATTGAACAATTCAGAAACAAACATTGAAGTACAGTGGAAGGGACTTAAAATAGGCAATTTTTAGATTATGCTTTACATATGTCATATATTTTTATAGACTATAACCTAAATGCTACTTTTTGGAAAACTAAGTGGTAGCGAAAAAAGAAAAACGGAAGTTATAGTTGATCCCTATTTATAAACTGAACTACAATATGCCGGCTTAGTTGTTTTCATCAATAATATAGCTCCCAGTTGCATGTATGAGGTTTTTATTTGCCTTTCTTCATTTTGGATAAAATATACAGCAATCATAGTTTAAATATACTGACATAACCTTATGTTAGTATATTGAGATGAGTATATTGAGAATGTGTCAATGGAAATATGTATTTGGATAAAATCTTTATGGAGCCCAATACAGATTTCAAATAACCAGTCCGCCACTTACTCTTAAAGATGTATTTTATTTGAACAATGAAAGTATATAGTTTATTTTTAAATCCAACTATAATATCACCTAAAATTTAAACAGGAAACATACCAGTATTTTTTTTTTTTTTAATTCAGAAGCAGCAGCCATCTATTAAATAGCATTCTTTAATGATGCAACAACAAAAAGCTCAAAATTACCTCATATGTGGGAACTGTCCTGAGAATTACATTCTTAGAAAAATACAGCTTAATACTTAGAAAGTCATCTGATGACTTTGTCATTTATTTTTGTGATGTTCATCAGGAAAACTTTATCAACTTCTTGATTTTTTTAGGACATTTCTGTCATTCATCGTTTTTCTATTTCAAGTAAATTTAGTGAGCTTTTTTTTTTTTTTACATTCTTAAGCCTGTGATTTTAGTGGTACCATTAATACTTTTAAATAGGTCTTATTAGTTGCTAATTTAACACAATCTTTGGGAGAGTATGTCTGGAAGAGTGAGCTTTGGAGACATACCTAGACATCAGACCCATTTCTAACACTTACAAGCTATTTGACTTTAGTCATTAGTTTGGGTTAATGACCCTCAGATGTAGTATTAATTGTCTACTTTCAGAGAGAAACTGTCTTACTATGACTCTTTATTTGCCTTTTCAGATCAATGTACTGTTACCCGGACATACCTATTTCTTCATAAGTTCTGGTTCTTTAGTGCTGCATACTATTTTGGTAATTGGGCCTTTCTTGGGGTAAGTACAAGCATTTCAGAGATGATCTGCCATTCCTTCTCTCCCTTAATTTTTGAGCTAATTCACTACTTGGCTTCTGCTGCTTTAACACTCTTTAATGTTATTCACCAGAGTCCTGGTGTGGTGCTGTGGCTTAATGCACTGGACTGCGAAGTCAATGTGAGCCACAGGGTTGATGGTTCAAGCTCATCAGCTGTTCCTTGGGAACTCTAGAGTCGAAATTTTATAAACTTTTAATTACATATGCTGTCATAGTGCCTTTGTATCATAGTAGTGCCACTGGACTTTGAATGGCTTTCTAAATGATTTTAGATTTGGGAAATAATACGTAGCTTATTTAAATTTACAGGTATTCTTGATTGGATTAATTGTATCCTGTTGTAAAGGGAAGAAATCAGTCATTGAAGGAGTAGATGAAGATGACTCAGACATAAGTGATGAAGAACCCTCTGTCTATTCTGTCTAACAACATGTGTCTTAAAGCTGACTGAAAACCTAGTATGCGTTTTTAAAGTGTTAAGCTAACATTAAGATGATCTTACTAGCTTTCATAAAAAATGAGAGCATGGCTATTAAAAGAACTATATTTTTTATGTTTTCTTGAAATTACTGTATAATAGATTCACAATAAAATTACTAAAATAATACTGTGTATATACAACTGGCTTTGTGAAGGAATGTTTGTGGAAAAAAATTTCTCTAATGTATAATAGTGTTGAATTGATTAAAAATCTTCCAGTATTAATATTTCCTTCTGTTTATTTTTAAAAATATAATAAATCATTTTATTTGTACCTTTGGGTCTCTAGAGTAATGTGGAATTTTAAAATGTTTATGTCTGATTAGCTAATAGAAAATGTTCACAATGTAGCTGATAAAAACTGTATTTCAGTTTTTTTACATAAGATTATTAGTGCTTCTTATAGATTTTATCAAGAGATTTTACTTAGTTGTGTAAGATGTATTATAGTACGCAGATACTAACCTAATATGAATTTTACCACCTTTGCAATATTCTGGTATGGTGCTGTAGGATAAACACTGGACTAACTGCAAAGTCAGCAGTTCAACCAGCCACACCTTAGAAACGCTTTATAGGGATGCTATGAGTCAAAACCAACTTGACAGCACTTAACAACAACACAGCATGTAAAACATGGATATCATTTTAGAATTTTTGCTTTATAGCTATTTATGTTGTTATATTGATATTCCAAATTATATGAGGTATCATCAAGAATAATTGATTCTGAAATATCAGAATTGCAGATTTAAAGACGTTACAGATTAATTTTATAATCTGGAATTGCAGATTACATGACATCTAATTTTGGCTTTTGAGCGTTTTTTTTTATTCTAACAGTCTAAAATTAACAAAAGTCATAGTGAAAGCTATCTAATATCATTAGGGTGTTTTGAACATATTCCGGATAATGGAACATCATCACAAATGATATCCTAATTTATTAACATGATCAAATTGGAACTCAGAAAAGAAATGAATCATGATCCTTAAAATAAAATACTTTGAGGCTTCTGGAATAGACTTAAGTATTTATTAACAATTATCTCCAACTTAATTCTCTCCCTTAGTTTTTGAGCTAATTCACCACTTGGCTTCTGCTGCTTTAACACCCTTTAATGTTATTCACCACAATTAGTCCTGATGTGGCACTGTGGCTTAATGCCCTGGACTGCGAACGAAGTCAGTTTGTGCCGCAGGGTTGGTGGTTCAAGCTCATTAGCTGTTCCTTAGGAACTCTAAACAGGGACCCTATGGGTTGGAACCAAATCAACGGCACACAGTAACAACAGCAGTCTTCATGTGGCATGTATCTTCCCTTCATTTGTGCTTGTTTCTCTGAGTCTTAGTATGCTCTTTTTATATCTCAAAATAAGGTTGAAAATATACCTTACTCTCTGATACAGCCATGATAACCTAATAAAGAAAACCCTATCCCCAAATAAGATTATATCCACTGGTAAAGGGGTTAGGATCCAACATATATTTTGGGAGGGATGCTATTCAATCTATAAAAATGTGTTACTTTCCCCAATGTCCCCAAGCAAAGTACAGTGTTGGCTCTACCTAGTCATGTGGTACCTACAATGTGTTGTGATATATTGTTTTCATGTCTATCTCTGTATTCTAAGTCCTTAAACACAAATCTGACATTTTAACTCTGTTCCCATTTCCTAGCACAGTGAAGGCACTATGGTGAATAATTGCTGTACTGTACAGGGTTTCTGAGGAGAGGCTGGTGGGCTTGAACTGCCAATCTTTTGTTAGCAGTCCAGTGTATACCCTACAGTGCCAATGATGAAATATATTTAGCTTGTTTTGGATATTTATTTTGCTACTTAGAAGTTTATAGATATTATATTTATCTTCAATATTTCATGTGCTTTCATTACTTTGTGGAGGTTTTTTTATTTTGTTTTGTCAGACCAACTTTTTAACTTTCTATTTTGCTAATTATATTTTTAATGTTTTTTCTTCTTTGTTATTGTTACTGCCCTCCAGTCATTTTACTTTCTACCTATTTAAAAGTTTAATTTTATTCTAATACTAATATTTGGGGTGTTTTCCTCACAGTCATATGAAATGACTAACTTTATATTCTCTTTGAAACTGATTTAAATATTATAACTTCCAGTAGTAAGAAACATATTGCCTTGTAATTTTACCAAAAATGCATGATTTAGACATTATCCAGAGTGATGGCTTATGCAAAAGTCAAAGTCCTCATGTCCTATGCAGACCTACAACAAGAATGAATTTATTCAGTACAATAGCATGGCACTGGCTAAATAAGAACCTCAATGTTTAGCATGTTGTAGTTGCTGTTGTTAAGTGCCATCAAGTAGGTTCCCATCCATAGCAACCCTGTACAGGGCTTCCAAGGAGCAACTGGTGAGCTTGAACAGCGAACCTCGCAGTTCAAATCAACCTTGCAGTTCAGCACATTAACCCACAGCACCATACCAGGACTCTATTGTTAGCATAGCAAATGAAATATGCATATTGGATCAAAGAGGAAAATACAGAAGCATCAAAATTGAAGCCCCTAGATAGAGTGTGATAAAATGTCTGGGGAAAAAAAAATCATAGCAAAGATCAAGTTTACTGATCAGATAAAGACTGGTGGAACCCCTGACTATGGTCCTTAGCCATCCTTGAGATCTGGAATTGAACTCAGCCATTGTTCAATTATCAACCAAATAATAGATTTATAAAAGGAACAGTGTTGTGGCGCTGTGGATTAATGAACCAGACTGTAAAATAGTTTGAATTGCAAGGTCAGCGGTTCAAGCTCATCAATGGCTCCTTGGAAACCCTATACAGGGTCACTATGGGTCGGAATCGACTTGACAGCACTTAACAACAACAACAACAAAAGGAACAGTAACACTAGGGAATTATGCATTTCTTAGAATAATCAATCATTTGAAATCTAAAGGGCAGCATTTGCCCAAAGACAAAGTTCAGAAGGGTGGTAGGAAAGGAAAAGGAATGGAGATGAGAAAATTGGGTTAGACGTGATGTTACACTGTGGGGATTGTACTCAATGAGTTGAAACAAAATGTGTATGAATTGTTGATTGGAAAATTGATTTGCTCTGTAAGCCTTCACCCAATTCACAATAAACGGTTTCTAAAAAGAAATATAAAGGTATGCTATGGAACTCTTCAATGAATTCTACTTATATAGTTACAGAATATACTGTTTTGAAATCCATTTACAATCAGAATAAAGTAGATATTGATTATGCTCGATATAATGAATGTAAACTCCAACCTTATCAACCTCGACAGGGTGAAAAAACAATGGACAAAAATTAGAAAATTAAAAGAGGAAAAAGACACTAATATCACTATGTTGTGGGATAGTATGTAGAGAAAATCAAGAGTTATTGTCTCTGGTCAATAGAGCAAAGAAGAAAGCTTTGAGTATATTAAAATTATAAAGGTAACTAATAGAGCATGCAAAATAGTTGTATAGCAGTGCTATGAGATATAGAAGGAAATGGGAAACAAGGGGAAAGTGTCTCAAGCTAGTGAAATCCTCATTTTAGAAAGTCAAAAAATGAAAGGATAATTTCAGAAATAGCAACGTATCGAAATGTATATAATAAAGATTTCAAAGATAAAGAGATCAGATGTTATTTAAAGTAGAAATTTTATCAGATAAAAGTTCATTGTAATTATGCATAGGCATATTTTTTTTTTATTTCAGCAGTCAAGACAAAAAAAGGAGACGTGGTTTTGATGAAGTTGTTACCATTCGATGAAAGGTAGCACTCAAGTTTGCCTGGAGAAAATTTTGTCTGGCACTATATTTTAGAAGGAAATTATATTGGGAATTCGTGTGTAAAGAATGGTAACTGAACAAATGTCTTTGCTAAAGTTTAAATAGAAAAGCACATGTAAGGAGACAGAATTGGGGATTCCCAGGGGAAATCTGATTGGATTCATTTGTGCATACAGCATTCATTACTCCACTCAGCAAATAACCAGATTTATGTTCCAAGCACTGAGATAAAGGCTACAGAGGTTCTGAAAGTGAAATAAATAGCTCCCACCCTCATAGGAATTTAGGATCGCTATGAGTCGGACCCGTCTCCAGGGCACATAAACACCACTACCAGACCTTATCATGGAGTCCTGGTGTGGTGCTGTGGGTTAATGTGCCAGACTGCGAAGCCGTTTGAACTGCAAGGTTGGCGAATCAAGCTCAGCAGCTGTTCCTTGAAAACCCTATACAGGGTTGCTGTGGGTCGGAATCAACTCAACGGCATTTAACAACAAGACCTTATCATATCTGAGATTATATGAATCTGACATACTTTTGTCTATTGGTCAAAAGGGAGTAGGTGCAGAAAAAATATTTTCAAAATTTCCTTAACTCTATGGAGTCTGGTAGTGTAATGGTTACAAATCGGGCTGCGAACCTTAAAGTCAGCATTTGGAAACTACCAGCTGTTCTGTGGGAGAAAGATGAGGCTTTCTGCTCCCGTAAAGATTTACAGCCTCAGAAACCCTGTACAGGGTCGCTATGAGTCGGAACCGACTCCACGGCACATAACCACCAACCACCATGGAGTCCTGGTGTGGTGCTATAGGATAAACACTGGAGCACAAGGTTATTTGAACTGTAATGTTGGCGATTCAAACTCAACAGCTACTGCTCAGAAACCCTATATAGATGGCGTCCTTATGAGTCAGAGCCAATTTGATGGCACTTAGCAACAACAACGTTTTCAGGAACTAAGGTGACTGGATGAACCCCTTCAACTATTGTCCTGACATAATATTTAAACCTTAAGCAAAAAATGTTCCCTGAAGGCTTCATGAAACCAAACAAACACTTAACTTAGCTAGTAAAAAATGTATGCCGTGAGAATTATACGCTGAATACTATGGGATCAAATTGGCAACAGCAGGGACTAGTGAGTTTATGTTAATAGGGGCAAGAGGAACAATTTCTAGGAGCATGAGAATAGTTGCACAAGGGAATTGTAGAAATTCTTGGATTGTGGTATGTGTTGCTATGGATGTGCTCAACAACAGCTAAGGACATTTTTTAAAAAGTCACCTTGTTCAGATTGCAATGGAAAATATTCCAGTAACTCATCACATTCCCAAAACATGACACATCATCTCTGGGGATCATAATTAGAAGGCTGTTGTTGTTATGTGCCGTGGAGTCGGTTCCGACTCATAGCGACCCTGTACAGGGTTTCCGAGGCTATTAGATAATCATAAAATTGAAATAATGTAGTAATGAGGCCA